TAGAAGCAGATACAATTGCATACATAAGGTACTAAATAAGGATCCTAAGGAATTTCCACCAATTTATAAAAGCGAATACAATTACATACATAAGGTACTAAATAAGGATCATGAGGAATTTCGAATGTTATATAGAATATATCCAAATGTTTTTTCTAAAGCTATGTAGTATTATAAGAGTGAAGACGCAATTGCAAGATACTAGATTCATTTGTGTTGAAGAAATGCTTGCAAAGTTCTTAATCATCGTCGGTCAAAATGCTCGATATCCTCTAACTCGCGAGACATTTGTGATATCACATTTTGTAACAAGCAAAAATTTTCACAAGGTTTGAAAAGCCTTGGAACACAATAACACTTGATATGATGGTCAAAGCAGCACCTACAATGCCAGCCAAAACAAGATAAAGTACAAGGTTTTATCCTTACTTTAAGGTAAGTGGTATATATATGAGATATGGTCAAGGGATAAAGATTTTGACAAACATTTTTACAGTCCTGTACAACCTTTAGATCTTGTAACATTCAACAGTCTTGATTAAGAGTTATGCAGAGGATTTAAAACATTAAATGAGGTATAAATTTATAATTAAGAAATTAATATAAGTTAAAACTAAGAAAAGAATAAAAGCTAAGGGAATAATCCTGCAAACATAAGGAAAAAGCAAAAATGGCCGTCTTGGATGAAAATGTAAAAGCATGATCCGAATTGCTTCATCCAACTCCAACACCTCGAATTCCTATCACTCACACTGCCAAACTTAGTATCATTCCTTCAATTGATCGATACAAAATTACGATATAAAAGCATATCAAGTATCAATTTGCTTCAAGTATTCGTTCCTCACTCTTTCAATAATTTGACAAAACTAAACTCTAAATCAACAACTCTCACTACCTCCCTCAAAAAAAATTTTAATACAATTAAATCTGAGTGTGGATTTGAAGTAGAATCAAAGAGGTTTTTGGGGTTCTTACCGAAAAATGAGAACGAAGACTCAAAAGACTTGAAGGTTTTTTGCACAAATCAATGGAGGCCTTTGTGCGCAAAATTTTCTTCCTCTTTTCAATTTTTAATTATTTTTCTAGTTTTTATTCTTTATCAACTTTTTATTCATTTTCAATGTTAATTATAATCCATGTAAGCATCCAAATTATTGAATGATTCATTAAAGACCCTTTGATGTTATATATGTAATCCAACGGCTTAAAAGGAATATAAAAATATTTGTCAAAATCTTTGTCATTAATCATATCCCTACATATAGGTATAGGCAGTGACGGAGCCAGGAATTTACAGCAATGGGGTCAAAAAATAGCTTTAAAAAATCGATCGTACTTTCATTTAAAAATATATTTCAAACTCAAATCTCAAATCCCACATACACCCATATCTCTCACTCAAACAAAGAACAAGTAGAGAAAAGGAAAATACATAACAAATTTCTCTAGCATTAATATGAGTGATTACTCAAATGAGAGCAAAAAATGAAGCAATCCAACGAGAACACTAAAGCAGCAACTACTACCTTCTCTAAATATTGCCCCATGTTTTTCTCACTCACTGCATCTGCTTCTCTCTCAAAATGGTAGACCCAACTACGCTCTTTTTCAAATGGGAGAGCCGAATGCTCTCCCTAGTGTGGCTTTCATCTCTCTCCTCTGGTCACAAATTGGAGCTGTCGACAGACATTCCTTCTCTTTTCTGCTACTGCTCAAAACCAAAATGCATAACAAATGCCTTAATATATATTAGTTACTGCCAAAACAAAAGGCTCTGTCTTCTCTCCTATTATAAAACCAAAGTCATCAACCTTTCTTTTTCTTTATTCTTCAAAAAACCAAAGCAATGCCTCTTCCCATTTTTTCTCTTCTTTGCACCGAAAGAAAAAGAGTGGCCCAACAAACTTATTGGGGTGAATGAATCTCATTGCACCCACCTTGGCTCCGCTACTGGATATAGGGATAGGATCAAAGCACAAATATTTTTACAAACATTTTTACACTTTTTTGTAGCCTTTAGATTTTATAACATCCAAAGGGTTCTTATTTATTCATTAAATGTCATGAATACTTATGTAGATTTTAACTAATATTAAAGATAAAAATAAAACTTAAAAAAAAAAAAAAAAATTTGGAAAGAAAATTAAAAATAAAATAAAAAGGAAGAAACCCTAAAGGAGGTCCTCTACAACCTCCATCCCCCGATCTGTAACCTCCTATCTCCCCCAGGTCTACAACTTCCATGCTTGAATCTCATTAGGTAAGCAAAACAAAAACCTAAATTCGATATTCGTATATGTATGATGATCAAATTCGGATTTGGAAAAAAAATTTAGTTTTGTATGTGCATGTAGGGGTGGGCTCGAAAAACCGAAAACCGAAAAAAATTGTACTGAAAAATAAACTGAAAGTGTAAAATTGAACCGAACCGAATCTGGTTCAGTTCGATTCAGTTTTTGGGGTTCAGAAACCGGACCGAACCAAACCGAACCGAAGTAAGGCAAAACGACGTCGTTTTATATTTAATTATAAATTAATAATTTTTTTTATCTTGAATGGCGTCCTCTAGTCACTCTCGTCTTCAGTCTTCAGTCTGAAACCCTAAACACTAAACAGATCGATCGATTCATTCCCTTCCGGCCTTCCCTTTCCCTTATCTCTCTCCTCTGCACCCTCACTCTGGACCATCTCTTTCCTAGCTCCGCCACTCTTCCGCTTCGTCTTCTTCCTTCCCAGCGACCTGTGACCTGCAACCTGTCTCACACATCTCGTCAACGCGACACCGTTTTACTCTCAGTCTCTCACCCCCATGACCCACGTGCGACCCACGACTTCCTCTCGCCATTTCGAGTCTCCAGTCTCAACCCACAAATTCCCTCCTTTGCAAGGTTAGTCTCTCACCCAATCACCCTGTTGTGAACTGTGATGCGTTGTGCAGATTTTTTTTTTTTTTCGATTTCATTGGTTCTAATCTGTAGACATTTCTATTGGCTATGCTATATTGCTATAACCATTGTTTTAATTTTAGTTTATAAACATTGGGTATGCATGCACTACAATAGACATTGTGTAACCTTATTCAGACATTTCTAATTTTGGTTATAAACATTGGTTCTGATCTGTAGACATTTTTTAGACATTTCTATTGGGTATGCTACAAACATTGGGTAATTTCATTTCTAAACAACACTATTAGACTATTCGTTGAGGTATTCATTGGTTCTACACTACAATTTTGGTTTTGCACTGCAATTTGTTTCCGGTATTCATTGGTTCTGCACTGCAATGGCTTTGTGCCTCGATTTGTTGATGCCTGATGATCTGATATTTTTGTTAATAAGAAAGAAAAATCCCGCCAGGTGCCAGTATCTGATATTTCTGTTAATATGCCTGATGATCTGATATTGGTTTTGCATTGCAATGTCTTTGTGCCTCGGTTTGTTGATGCCTGATGATCTGATGTCTTTATGCTATAGTCAGTCGTCTATTGTTGATGGCATCATGGACACAGATTGTTTTATAATTCATGTTAATGGCATCAGAAAACTTAATTATAAATATGTTCTTATAATATTGTGAGGACCATATGGAGTCCTTATGGTTGGTAGCTAATAGTTTCATGACAATATATATATCTTTTGTATCCGTAGTCTTTTATCTGTTATATGCTATCTGTAATCCTTATATTTTGATGCTGATATCTTTACCAAAGTTCATATATACTCAATATTGTAAAGCTGTTTTTTGGGTTCGGTTTATTATGTGCATTCGTAGCTTTTGCATGTGCATCGTACCTTTGCTTATTATATTTTTTGTATCTTAATTAGATGAAGTCAAGTGCATCAAAGGCCTCGAGCTCAAGCTCAAACTCAATGAGATCATCAAATAGCTCCTGTGAAAAAAATAAACTCATCTACTTCTGCTCCATCGCAAGTTGTCATCTCTATACTTTCCCTATGGTTCTTATGTCTCAATTTATTTAATAATTAATTGTAATGATTCTTACTCTTCTTTTTTAAGGACATTGTTGGTGAATCAACTCCACCTCAACCCTCCATAGTGGCAACTCAACAAACTCCTCTTACTCTTGGTGGATCTACAAATTTATCCGATCCAACTCCAAAACAAGGTGGCTCAAGTGATCAAGTAAATAAAGAAGACACTCTCTTGGATTCAATAAAAAGTCATTCAAGATCTACAATTTGGGAGCATTTTGATAAGATAATTGAGGGAGGTAGAGTTAAAGGGGTGTGCAAGTATTGCAACAAATCGTATAGGGCCGACACGGATAAAAATGGTACAACTAGCATAAGAAATCACTTAGCTAGATGTAGAAGCTATGGTCCTAATAAGGAAATATTTGCCACAAATAGGCAAAAGATATTAACCTTTGCTGGCACAAAAGATAAGTTGGAAGCTATTGGTTTTTCTCAAGTAGAAGTTACTAAGGCTTGTGTTGAGATGATAATTATAGACAAGTTACCTTTTTCTTTCGTCGAGGGAAATGGTTTTCGTCATTTTTGCATGCATGCATGTCCTTTGTGGAGAGTACCTAGTCGTAAGACAATAGCTAAAGATGTACTTGGCTTGTTTTACTCCGAAAATGAGAAATTGAAAAGTCAGTTGAAGACATTTAGGGCGTGTCTAACAACGGATACATGGACTTCTATTCAACAAATAAATTACATGGTTCTCACCGCTCATTTTATTGATGATGATTGGATGTTACATAAAAAGATTTGAACTTTTGTGTCATTCCAAATCATAAAGGAGAATCCATTCCTCAACTTTTGGAGGAGTGTTTGGTGGAGTGGGACATAAAGAAGGTGTTAACTATTACGGTTGACAATGCTTTAGCAAATGATTCCAGCTTAAGGGATTTTGTACACCGAAAAAGTGGGTCGGGGATTCCTAATGCACTTTTGCATGATGGAAAATATTTGCACATGAGGTGTGTTGCTCATATCCTCAATTTGGTGGTGAATGATAGGATAAAGATGTTGAATACCGCCATACAAAGCATTCGTAATGTGGTTAGGTATGTAAGATCTTCCCCTCAAAGGTTGGAGAGCTTTAAAAGGTGTGTTGAGAAAGTGAGAATAGAAAGCAAGGGGTTTGTGATTTTAGATGTCCCTACTAGGTGGAATTCCACATTTTTAATGTTGGAATCGGCTTTGAAGTTCAAGATGGCTTTTGATAGGTTGAAAGTAGATGATGGTCATTACCTTCCTTACTTTACTAAAGAAAATCATGATAATATAAGGGAAGGGCCACCTTCGACTCATGATTGGAGTGAGGCGGGAATATTTGCATCCTTTTTGAGACCTTTCTTTGAAGTCACTTTAAAAGTGTGTTGTTCTAATACTCCAACAATTCATACTACTTTTGGTGATTTGTTTAAGATCAAAAGTCTCCTCCTAGAAAACAAAGGTAATGAATTCTTGTCTATGATCTTCATGCTGATGCAAGAAAAATATGACAAATATTGGGGTTCAAATGATGATATGAATCAATATGTTTTTCTTGCACTTGTGCTTGATCCTCGCCATAAATTGGAGAAAGTGGTTGATTATTATGAGATACTATATGGCGAGGACGAGGAAAAAGTTGAAATTGCAACCAATGCGGTGAAAGATTTGTTGTTTGATCTTTACAAGATTAATGAAGAGTTGTCTTTTGATACACAACAAAGCACAAGTAGTGGTGGTAGTTCTCAATCAGCAACTACAAGTGGAGATCCTTTATCAAGCATGACAGAGATTGAAAGAAAGTTGAAAGAGAAAAGTGAAATAAGAAAAGCAAAGAGAGCCCTTATTGTGCACAATGATTTGGATAGGTATCTTTCGGATCCTAATGAAGGGGAAGAAGAGGCAAACTTTGATATCTTGAATTGGTGGAGGGTGAATGGACTTTCTAAGTATCCTATTTTGGCACGAGTTGCAAAAGAGATTTTAGCTATTCCCGTATCAACCATTGCTTCGGAATCCTCCTTTAGTACAAGTGGACAAATAATTGATCCATATCGTAGTTCTTTGAGTCCAAAAATGGTGGAAGCTTTGATATGTACACAAAATTGGCTTAGGTCAATTCATGTAGCATTACATCATGAGCCAACCATTAGGGAGATTGAATTTTGTGAAGAAGTTGAGAAATGTAATTTTACTTATTGCATTTGGTTTTGTTAGACTATTTTAATTACATGCTAAGTTGCATGCTTGCTTTACATCATATTGTTTCATTTTTTATTTGTATGTAGAAATGGCAAGTGGAAACTCAAACAAAGGTGTTATGTTGCCTCCTAGGCCGCCTAAGCATTGAGCTTGAGCTTGAGGACTTGGAAGATTTTATTTGTGCAAGACATGAAATGATGAAACCTTGAAGGTTTATTTGACTTGTGTGATGTTTATTTTAAATTTGGATTTTTTGAAGACTTAAACTTTGATGTTTATTTAAGTTTGGACTTTTGAAATTGGAAGACTTGATTGATGATTCTAGTTGGAACTTGGAAGACTTAAACTTTGGATTCTCATCATGGTTTTGTTGTTGAATATGGTCTAAGGTTATGATAGTAGTATCACTTCTCAAATGGCATATATTTCCTTTTATGTCAAATGTAGATGTGTAAAATTGATTTCATACTTGTAGGTTTTCATGTGGATGACTCTGAAGTGACTTTGAATGTGAACTTTCATATTTCCAATTTTTTTTTTTTTTTTTGGAGGAAGAAAAAAAAATTGAAACCAAACCGAAACCAAACCAGAAAAACCGAACCGAAAAAAAACCGAACCGAGAAAAACCCGAAAAAAATTGAACCAAACCAAACCGAAACGAAATTTCGGTTCGGTTTCGGTTTTGGGAAAAAATCGAACCGCTGAGAACCGAACCCAGCCCTATGTTCATGTATTTGAAGATTTTTCTACCCTTTTAGTTTTTCAAATCAAACAAACAACTATCTCAATACGCTGTCATATGTTTCGAATCTCAATTAAACTCGAAAGGGTGGCTTATGTAATGTTTCTGTAGGGATTTTGATGTCGGTACCTATGAGTATGTATACTTTTGGTTCTAGATTAGTTAGATATTGATTTTCTTCCCTCGCTTCGTTTCCATGTTTCAACAATTTTTCAATCGAAACACATGGATAGCGTATTGAGATTTTTGTTTGTTAGATTTGAAAAGAACTCATCAAATACATGAATTGACAAAACTAAAAAAAAATTCCAAAACCTAATTTGATCACCCTACTTATATGAACAATAATATAGAATTAGTATTTTGTTTTGCTTGCCTAATGAATATTTCGAGTATGGAAGTTGTAGACCTGGGGGAGAGGGAGGTTGCAGACCACATTCCTCATTTTCACGATTACAGCTAAGATTTCTTTTTCTTTTCTTTTTAACTTTAATATTAGTTAAAATCCACGAAAGCATTCATAGTATTAAATGAATTAATAAGAACCCTTGGATGTTATAAAATCTAAAGGATATAAAGAAATGTAAAAATATTTGTCCCTTGATCCTATCCCATATATATATATATATATATATATGTGTGTGTGTATACATATATATATGTATATGTATTGTTATTGTTAATTTTGTTGTTATCATTGTAAAAAGATACACCATATAAACTCATATATACCAACAATGGTAAAAGGATTTAAAGTTAGTAGCCATCGTGATCGTCATAGATAATATCACAAAATGTATTGGCTGCGTGTAACCTTGATTTGGAATGCATATACATTTTTAGTAGATGGGAAGGTTCGACACATGATTCAAAAGTGTCGTTTGATGCTTTATCAAGGAGGAACGGACTTAAAGTGCCGCAAGGTACATATTTTTATTTCTTAAGCCTCTATTGTTATACTATTAGATTTTATTGATAGGTTCCGTGTTCATCTAGGTAAACTTTTCTTGGTCGATTGTGGATTTGCAAATCGTTGTCAGTTTTTAGCTCAATTTTGAAGTGTTCGCTATCACCTCCAAGATTTTTCCAGTCAAGGTCGTGGCTCCGAAAATTCACTAGAATTGTTCAATCTCCGCCATGCTTCTTCAAGAAATGTGGTCGAGAAAATATTTTGTATATATATTCAAATCACGATTCACAATTTTTAAGTCTACACCTTCGTTTCCATACAAGACACAAGCAAGTAGTGTTAGCTTGTGCATGATTACACAACTTTCTTGTAAAGAGTGTCGTTCCGATGAGTTTCCTGTTGAAGATGAAGAACCCTCATCCTCGTCATCGCTGCCAGAAGATGAACTTTTTGAAACCTAAGAGCAGGCATGAGAAAACGCTAATGCATGGAGACTTGATATAGCTTCAAATATGTGGATAGATGCTATGAATAACGGGAGTCCAAGATGAGAAATGATGATGATTTATCTACTGTGATATATTGCAAACTACATATTCTTCATCACTTCTTATTCTATAAAGTTTATTGGTTTTGGTTGTTGGCGAACCTAGACTTCTTGTGTATTGCTTATAGTTATTGGTTTTTAGCAAACCCAGATGATAAAGTCTCAAGGTATATTGTGCTTTTTTTTTGCCTGGATTGGATAAAGATCAAAAAGATTTTTTTTTTTTTTTTTTTTTTTTTTAACAAATGATTGGTTAGCAATAATATGATTTAAATTCGTCTTTGGTGAAAATCGAACCTAAGACTTCTCACTTACAAGTAAGGAGAAATACCACTAGATCGTAGTACTAAGTGGCAAAAAAAATGAATAATTTGAGAGGCAAAAGTTTAGCTAACCATATAATATGTGCAAGAATTGAATTTGTGGCTTGCATTCTAATGAGTTAAATAAAGATTTACTCTTACCAAAAAAAAATTGCCCACTGAATCTATTAGACTTCATAAAACTCTATTGAACTTCATAACAAATTTCATATCAAATCCTTTTATAATTCCCCGTATTCTATGTGAATCAATTAAAATTCATGAAATTCATGGGAGTTAATAAATACATTAAACTCTCTCAGATTCCTAATTGAATACACCCTCCTAAATTAGTATCAACTTTTTAAAACATTCTAAATAACTACCTAAATTTAAAATAAAATAAAAATTAGGCATTTGGTAGGTCACCATAGATTTTAGCAGCATGAAGTGATGACTTTGCTAGCATTAAATAATGAGGTGGATAAACACTAAAGTTGGTTTTCACTAATCGACGTCTTTGGGATTCTAATCTCCCAATTTGACTCATTTTAACTAAGTTAAACCATACATTTGGTTGGCTAAATGAGGCCAATTTGGATATTCTCTTAATAAATAACTTGAGAGTTTAAACACACTTAATGTTTATCCATGTCATCACTGAATGAACCTAATAAATGTTCATTTTTGAAACTTTAAGACCTTAAAGTAGTTATTTGGAATGTTTTTGAAAGGTTAGAACTAATTTGGAATCACCCTTAAAGGTTAGGCAGTTATCCGAATTTAACTCTTAATAATAATTAGTCTCAAACTCATTAACTTAAGATTTCTCACTTACAAATAAAAACTAAATTGAAACGGTCATTTTCAAATACCATTCATGATAAAGGTGTCAACGTATACAATTTTTCCAAATATATAATTAAATTCAAAGTAGATCACAAGGGAAGAACCCTCATGCAGGGAGAGAAGCTCTCTCACGGAAGGAGAGAAAAGCCCTCTTCTCAATGGACACCGTATAAATATGTTTAGTCAGCCTCAATAACTTACAGAAAGCACAAAACAATCAAATGTAACCAGAAATGTATACATATAATGCGTGTATATATTAAAAAGTTAAACATAAAATTTGTAAAGAGAGAATAAAAAATACTCTTTAAAAAATTTAGTGACGACCTTCTAAACAATTTTTCTTCGTTGAAGAGATAGTTCTTTAAGGACTTTTTTAAATAATTATTTTATCACTAAAAATTTACTTTATTTGAGAAAAAATACAAAAATAAAAATAAAGGCAAATGATATGATTTATGCTTTGGAAAAAAAGTAAAATTATTTTGTACTTTGTTTACTTTATTATCCATAACTTTTATTTTAGCTATTTTATTTTAATTTTGTAGTCAGGATTAATTTAATTTTTTTATTGACAAAAAAAATTATTAATAGGTAATTTAAATAAATCAGAAGGAGATAAGGAGTATGTAGGTCCCAACTATGCGACAAACCACATGGTGTCATATCGACCGACCTGGTGCAAGTACAAATTAAGGGAAAAGGATCATCGTCATATTCTTTTTTTAATGATCGTGACCGTTCATCATATATCATACGATCAGAAATTATTTTAAAATTTAAAATTTAAAATTAAATATAAATAATATCTAACGATTTCTGACCGTAGGATACAAAATAAACAATTATGATCACAAGATTTCTAAAATCCATAGAAAAAAATCCGACGAGAATATTTTCCCAAATTAAATACAAATTCACCACTTGCTTTAAATTAGTGGTGCAGCTGCTCTGCCACGCGGCGGCAATAATTTTATATCTTTTATGTAGATCCTTACAAATACAGCAATTGAAGGTCAAATCCAATTATCCCTCCCACTGTCTCTGCACTTTCTAGTAAACTCCGTTCCTGTCTTCCCTTGTCTCTGTTCCTCCAGATGGCAAAAAAACAGAGCTACTTGAAGATGATGACTGAATCGGATGCCGCCGATTTGATCAGCAGCGATTTCAAAGAGCTCGGCGCTGCTGCTAAGAAGCTCGCCGGCCACGCCGTCCGCCTCGGCAGCTTGGGATTCGGAACTGCTTTTCTCAAATGGGTTGCTTCGTTTGCTGCAATGTATGTCTTCTCTCTCCTTGTTTTGGATTGAATGTTAAGATTTTTGGATGATCTTGGAGGTATTAAATCCATGGTAACTGATATTTTTCTGGGTTATTGTTATTTTTTGGAGATGCAGTTTTTCAGATCCTGTATTGGACTTTTTTCGTTGGTTTTCAATGGTTTAGATCACTGTTTTTTGTTATTTTATGATTCAAATTTTCAAGTTTTTAATGTAAATTATATTAGTTTTGTTTAGTTTTTATGTTCTTAGTTGTGCTTTGTGTGACGTATTAATTTCACTTGTACTGATTTGAGAAAATATACGAACCTCACCTATTTGTTTCTGTGTTTACTGTAGCTATCTGTTGATCTTGGATCGAACAAACTGGAAATCGAACATTCTTACAGGGCTATTGATCCCCTACATTTTCTTTACCCTTCCTTCAATATTGTTCAACATCTTCAGGTTATTTTCTACACATACGTACCGTACAAGTTATATATTTCGTGTTGTCGGTGTTTTTGGTTCGTTGTATTCCCTAAAAATCTTTATTTTTCCAGGGGAGAGATTGGAAAATGGATTGCTCTCGTTGCTGTTGTCTTACGGCTTTTCTTCCCTAAACGTTTCCCAGGTAAAATATAGTATTTATTCCCACTGCTGATCGAACATGTCTATGCTTCCAAGTTTATGCCATGCAAATGGCAGCGAGCATTAATCGCTGTCGGATGACTTTGAATGAATCAGTCTTCTACACAAGTCTAGAAAATTAAACTCATCCAACGGCAGTTGATATGGTGGTAATTCTTGTGGTCACTAAATAAGATTGGTCTATGACCTAGAATTTGTTGCTTGCTTTAACCTAATCACGTTCTGTTTACTGCTTGTGGTCACTAACTATGATTATAACCTCCAGACTGGCTGGAGTTGCCCGCAGCGTTAATTCTTCTTATAGTGGTTGCTCCTAGTTTATTGGCGGACACCGTGAGAGGCGACTGGATTGGTGTGGTAATATGTCTTCTCATCGCCGGTTATTTGCTGCAAGAACACATCCGGGCAGCTGGTGGGTTCAGAGACGCTTTCACCAAAGCTGGTGGAATATCGAACACTATTGGCATAATCATTCTGTTCGTCTACCCTGTTTGGGCGATTGTTCTTTATATCTTGTAGAAACTTTCACTGCCATGCTTTACCATCATGATTCATTTGGAGTGTTTTTGAGTTTCTACATTTTCTCGAGTTCCTTTTTGTGTCGTTATTTCATGTAATTCGTGCTTTCGTTGTATTTTGCGTGCATGTCGTATTGTTTGTAATCATGAAAATGTGACCTGAAACCTTGTTGAAGACGCAGTTCATCTTTCTCGCTTGTTGAAAGTATATTTGTTTATGGATAATGTAACCGCGTATCTTTTTGCCATTATTGAGGAGCTAATCTCGTCTAATGAAATACCGAAAGTTTTTTTAGCAAAGAAACTCATATTTTCCACCAAAACAACAAACAAATGCAACTCAATTACAACTTTCCCATTCATGTGTAAGATTGTTATTGTACTCTTTCCTTCTCTTCTACATGAGGCAACACACAAAGCGCTAACCAACACAGAGACACAAAAGCAGAACCAAACAGCAAGCTTCAAGCATCACACCTGGAAATAAAACAAAACTAAATGCAAAATCTTGCTAATACGCTCAAAACTAGCACGGCACACACATGTAAGGGACAACCCTCTTATTTTCATCTGTAACTTGAATGTCAAGAATGTAACATACCTGAGCCATACATGTTTTCAAATCCTGTTTTCGATGCTCGAACTAAGGGCTGGTTTGGTATTATTGTGCTTTTAAAAAATAGCTGCTTCTGCTGTGCTGTGAAAATAAGCAGCTATGAAATAAAGCAGCAGAGTGTTTGGTAAACTTTTTTTTTAAAATGCTTTTGAAAAAAAAAAAAACAGTATTAATGTTTGGTAAACTTTTATGTAAAACAGATGTGAAAAAAAACCAATTTTTCAAAGCTGAGTTTTGCAGCTTCTTGTTTTTAGCTTTTTTTCACCTAAAACTGTGAAAAAAAACTAAAGCTGAGTGTTTACCGAACACAAAAACAGCTCCCAGCTTTTTTTTATAGCAGCTTTTTTCAGAATCACCTCAGTACCAAACCAGGTCTAAACATGTGAACAAATAGATTACAATTATAAATGTGCGTATCAATGAACATACAGCTTATACATGAAGGTAAGTCCACAGAAGAAAAAGTAAGGGAACAACCAATCCACCCTTCAACTCTTTTCAACTTTATTACAAGGTAAGGCAAAATCACCTTTCGTTCCTTCGAACTGACACTGAACTAGCAATTGTTTTTTCACCATGTCCTTTGAGTTTGCATTCCCGTCAAAGGTAGCAGGAATATTGGACTCCAGTTAAGGAAGAGCCTCAACATGTTCGTACAAGAAGAGAGTCGTTGATGAGTTGAGTACGCATGCCATTCCCAACTCTTTCAGCCTGCAGTATGTTATCACCACAACACCAAAGAATATGGAGTATGTTACCTATCCATGGCGATATAATGCATTTTTGAGCTTTAAGGTGAAGATACACAGTACAACTTTACATACCATTTGTATAGCAATTTGGTTCGGAAGGGGATTAAAACCTTTATAGATGATAATGAGCTTCCAAAAAGAGCAGAGAGATCACCGTCAAAGCTTCTAAAAGCAATTGAGGAATCAAAGACTTGTATCATTATATTTTCTAAAAACTATGCATCCTCAAGATAATGTTTGGATTGAATTTGCCAAGATCATAGTGTAAAGAATATTTAAAGCAACAAATTTTTTTCCTATGACTTTTATAAGGTGAATCCCTCAGAAGTATGAAACCAGAACTACGAAAAATTTCTCTCTGATTTTTTGTACTTCCGAATGATTCACCCTGTAACAAATTTGCCAATATTTCTTTTTCTTTGAAAATTTTGTAAATCGAAGGATCTTAACAAAGCACATCCAAACACCATGTTGAGGATGCATAATTTTTTAAGAAATGTAAAGATAGGTGACTTCTCTTAGGAATATCCTTACTTATTTGACAACTGTGTGTGTGTTGGTCATGGCTTGATCGGATAGGAGAGCTTCTCTCTGCATGTCATGCATTCTTTGGTGCTATGTTGGTAGGCACAAGCTCTTGGCTTTGCACCCGCACACTCATCTTTCTGCAACTGCACACTATATATAGACATTGGTGGAGGTGTGTATTCTCACAAGGAAAACAAATGAAATTCCCAAACCAGAAGGTGGTAAACCTAACTTTAGCAAAAACAAAATCATACCTTTAAAATTACACATACAACTTTGAAGGTTAAGTTTTCCTAATGTATATTCTACTTGTGTCATTCAAGATAGAACATATATCAAACATGCAATGCATCTGTAATATTCAGATTAAATGTGAATGCATGACTCATTACGCTTTGTGAAAACCATTCGAAAAATCATGCAACCCTTAAGATGTGACTTTCACCCTAAGTGCACTTACAATTATCAATGACAAGAAGCATTCTCAATTTCACAGTGACATTCCAACAGAAATTGTATCCGATTACTTATCCAAACACTCTAATGGTAGCTAAGCATTATGATATAAAGACAGCTTAAACACAATGATTATTAATTCAAAATATGCATGCATAATTATATCATAAGCAATTAAATAAAGACTACATATTCATGCTAAGGTTCATGACTTCGCCCTAACAAAAGAGAGTTAGTTATGCATATTGATAATTAAAATACAAAGGAAGTTTATTCAAATAGAAAAAGAGTGAAAACACAATTAAGTCTTCAATTAGCCAGAGCTTCGGCAATCCTAAGTTGTGAAGAGAATTCCTAGGCCGGCCCCTTTATTTATACTACTACAATTTATATTCTTCTTAGAAAAAGGTATTCTAAAAACTAGGAAACAAAACAAATTAAGAGAAACTAGGAAACAAAAAAAAATAAGGAGAAACTAGGAAACAAAATCCCTAGTTGATAAAATCTGCCAGCAACCAAACAACCACGTCCATGCCCTAAATCAGCTTCAAAATAGGCCCCAGATGTCTCTTTTTAAAGTTTAGATGTCCTGAACATATTTGCAGAAAGACCTGAACCCAAAAGACACTATTTTTGGAGGCCAAAAAGCCCCAATAAACTCAAAACGCCACTTTGTCAGCACCGCACGCTAGTTCTTTATTTCCTCGCCATAAGTTAAGGTAGAAAAATCTGAAACTTCAACACAAACCAGTTGAAGGACTCACAAACATCCATCAATAAGAATCACTCCAAAATTCATCCGTTTGATCATTTTTTGCTCACAAAAAAAAAAAATCACAAGTCCTAAATTAATAATTAAAGTATCAAAATTTCACTAAAATAATTATCAAAACATCCTAAGAATATGATTAGATATATAATATAAAATCGACGTATCAATAAGCCAAGTACGCATGCCATTCCCAATTGATTTAGCCTGCAGTATATTATCACCACCGCACCATTACCTATTCATGGCGATACGATACATGTCGGAGCTTAAGATGAAATACATGCTACAACTTACAGACCATTTGTATAGCAAATTTGGTTCAGAAGGGGATGAAAACCTTCATAGATGACAATGAGCTTCCAAGAGAGGAATCAAAGACTTGTATCATTGTATTTTCTGAAAACTATGCATCCTCAATATGGTGTTTGGATGAACTTATTAAGATCTTACAACAAGATGAACCCCTCAAAAGTACGAGAAGTACCAAAAATTTCCTCTGATTTTGTACTTCCGAGTGATTCACCTTGTACAAATACTTTCAAAGAAATGAAAATTTTGTAGGATCTTAAAACGTCCATCCAAACACCACGTTGAAGATGCATTATTTTCGGAAAATGCAGTGATAGGAGTCCTTGACTCTTCAAATGCTTTGAGAAGAGACCTGTTAGTCTCCTACGCTCACACATAAGAACTTAGTGGCGGCTTCCTATCTACTAGCTATCTACTAGCTTTAGCCAAGGTAGTTGGAGAGAGAGAGGGCTGGGAGAGAAATGGAAGCGAAGGATTGAGGCACTGAGCAGCTAGGGTTTGTAGGTATTGGCGCGGCGCTGGGCTCGAGATTGCAAGGAAAATCTAGAGAGAGAGGTTGATAGGAAACGGCGAGGTGCTAAAAGTTTCTTAAATAGGCAGCTGCTAGGTTTCCTTCACACGTGGGAATGGTGCAAGTGGATCCGTGTATATTAACCTTTTGGCAAGCTACCAGGTCCTGACTTCTATGGGCCGCTGAGGTTCTTGTTGGATTGGGCTCAAGTAGGCCCCAATTCTTTTCTCCACATCTCGACTCCAGTCTTTTTTTTCTATTTGTTGTTGCTCGTACACTAATTCTTGAGTTATATTTTGAAATTTGTACATCACACCAACGTGGTTTATGGGAAGTGAGATTGAAGCACTTATTTTTCGTCTCAGCTATTTTTAGTTTTAATTTTTGTTTGAAATAAAGTAAAGTTTAGTATGTGTTACAAATAATGTAATAATTGTTCCACCTAGGCCAGTTTTGCCTAATTAGTAGTGATTCTCGCATCAAACGGTAAAGTCTTGGCATGGGATAGGGTGGTTGGTTGATTTCGTAGCCTTTCAGCTCAAGTTAATAAGTCCTTAGGGGTGTACTATACCTAGTGCCCTAAAGCCCCAATGGTTTGGGAGTCATTGACCTAAAATTCGTTACATGGGTTGGATCGAAAGTTTAAGTAAACTGACATTGCACGACCATTATTGTTACTGGAAAAAAAATATATATATATGAAGAAAAAATTTGAAAAAAAAAATCCGAAAAAAAATTGAATATATAAGTGTGTAAAGTATTAAATAAAGAGGATGACATGTAAGGATTTTAATCGAGTCTCCTTAACTTTGTTGGTTCACTTTACTCCAAAGGAAATTCATGAATTCTTTTCTAAGTAGCTTTAAATGGCTTAGACTTTGTGGTGGGATTCGTTGGAACTTTTGAAAAGATGTTCTAGTTTTTAACATTTTCTTTGGGTTGTGATTTGAAGGTGGAAATTTTGTGTTAGTTAAGTTTTAGCTAAGTGTCTAATTAAGTTTTTGTTATCGTCTGAGTCTTGTTTTGCTTGAGGACAAGCAGAAAGCTAAGTTTGGAGGTATTTGATGAGTCAATATTATATTACATATTTCACCCTAATCTTAGTTTATTTTGGAACAATTTTGATCTTTGATTTGTATTTCCAATACAGGACTTTCAACTTCCTCTGGGGCAAAACATGATCAAATGGACGAATTTTGGAGTAATTCCAATTGAAGGACGTTTGTGAGTCACTTAGCTAGATCATGTCAAAACATCAAATTTTTTCCACCGAGTGATTATTTTCTGACGATAGAATAAAGGAGCAATGTAAAGTGCTGGAAAAGTAACGTTTTAGGCTTGAATACGAGTTTTGGAGCCTAAGATGGTCTATTGTGGATTCGGCCCCTTTTGAAGATGTGTTCAGGTTGTTTCGATCTTTAAAGGCTAAAATGTAGCAAGACAGTTTCCTTGTAGATTCTAATAGTTTAATTCAGATTTTATTTTCTAATATATTTTATTATTATTTGGTGTCCTAATTGGATCAAAAGACTTTTATTAGGGGATTGTTGGATAGCTTATGTAGAGCGATAGAGGTCTTTGGCGGGGCGAGTCTTTTTCTTCTTCTCTTTTACGCAACTTTGGAGAGAGGAAATTGGGTAGGATTCTTGGAGAATTTCAAACTTTTACTCTAAGGTGTTTTCAATCTTTTTCTTCATAATAATATTTTCTTTGATTTTAGTTATGAATATGTGTAACTAATCCGTTTTTGCTAGGGCGAGGCCATGAGCCTTAACAAGAATATGTAGACTTAACTGTCTCTATGTGTTAATGCTTGATCATCATTAGGATGTTTAGGTAAGTAATTGGATGCAATTCAGTTGGAATATCAACGGAGGATTTGGTATTTGCTCCTTGTGGTCAATAATTGTAATTTCACTTAAAACGAATATCACACTTTTAGGTGTTGCATGGTTTTTCGAAGGGTTTCACAGAACTTAATTAGTCTTGCATATTTACATTTAATCAAAATATCATAGACAGATTATATGTTAAATATACGTTATTGTTTGAATATCACGAGGAGAATGTGTATTACGAAAAGCTAACCTTTTAAGTTGCATGTGTAATTCATAAACAATTGGTAAAGTTACATAGGATTATTAAGGTAACGGCGGAACCCTAGTGCTTTACAAATTTGATTTTTAAAAACCATTTCCTTTTTAATTGATTTCTTTAAAATTGGTCTTTGCTGATTTCTTCAATTAGTTTCTTTAAAATTCGTTTTTAGTATCTAAAATTCCAAAATCAAATTTTCCAAAATTTTGTTTTAATTAATTAATTAAGAATTGATTTTACATAAATTATTTAAATAATCCTTATTGAGAACGATCTTGTATAAAGCATATTTACTACAACAAAATTGTATTCTTACAAGTATTTTGTGTAATTTTAACTTTAGTAACGTAAGTACTAAAAATCCTATCACGTCTATTCTCACCAGGAAAACAAATCAAACTCCCAAGCCAGAAGATGGTAAACCTAACTTTGGCAAGGCAAGGTAAGAATCGTCTGACAGTCCTACCTGCTAGCTTTAGCCAAAGAAGTTGTAAAATCTACGCCTACTTTACTTTTTCTTTTTTCTTTTTGGTTTTGGCTTGGATTTATGGATGAAAATCTTCGGCTGACCGACCAACAGAAAGCGCAGCTATTGCTATAACAAAAACAAAACCATAATTTTTGTAATTCCACAAACGAGCCATTTCTTAATTTAGTAGTTGTAAAATAGTTTTTGTTCAAATATTTGTTCTTGGGGCAATGTTATTTGTACACACAAAACTAACACACTTGCTTATATTCTCTAGTAAATGTCTCGGTATTGTGTATACAAATTATATATCATTGTTCATGACCGAAAAAAGAACATTATTGGTGTTCTACTCTACTTGAAACTCTGAGATAGGGTTTGAACGGGGTTCTATCACTACACTTGGTGTCTCAAGTTGAACATGGCTGTCGCCTGTTTAATGGGGTTACTACAACATATTGAAGCTCTAGTAGCTCGGGATGGATCGTCTTTTGCGACGAGTTGGTTCCCGGGTCATCCTTTTGTCCGAGTCCGTTTTGCTGTGGGTACATAAGCATTAGAACCACACCTCCAATGTGAATTGAACCAAAAGAACAGAGAATATTGGCAGCCACTGACAAAGCCGATGGGGTTGATTAGCAGGCGATCTAGACAAAAATTGTTGCTTACTAATCCCATTCTGTTTACGGTTGTGGTCACTAACTATGATGATATATAACCTCCAGACTGGCTGGAACTGCCGGGAGCGTTGATTCTTCTTATAGTGGTTGCTCCTAATTTATCTGCGGACACTGTGAGGGGCGACTGGATTGATGTTGTAATGTCTTCTCATCGCCGGTTATTTGCTGCAAGAACACATCCGGGCAGCCGGTGGGTTCAGAGACGCTTTCACCAAACCTGGTGGAATATCAAACACTGTTGGCATAATCACTATTCGTCTACCCTGTTTGGGCAATTGTACTTTGCATCATATATACACTTTTTTTATAGCAAAGGAACTCATTTTTTTCACCAAAAGAAGAAACGACATGCAACTTAATTACAACTTTCAATTCATGAGTGTAAATTGTTACCTTTCCTCTTTCCTTTTCTCCAACATGAGGCAACATAAAAGCGCTAGCCAACCACAGAAACACAAAAGTAGAACCAAACAGCAAGCTTCAAACTTCACACCTGGAAAAAAAAAAAAAAAACACAAAACAAAATTCAAAATCTTCCCCATGTTCATAATCTCCGATATCTCTTCCCCATGTTCATTATCTTCCCCATGTTCATAATCTCCGATATCTCTTCCCAGTGTGTTCATCCTCCAGCAGTACTACGTGGGCAGCACAGCTTGCCAAACCTTTGCTAATATGTCAAAGCTTCTCAAAGCAATCAAGGAATCAAAATTTGTATCATTGTATTTTCTGAAAACTATGCATCTATAATATGGTGTTTGGATGAACTTATTAAGATCCTACAACGTAGAGAACATTCAAAAGTGACAAAAATTTTGGCCAATTTTTTACAAGGTGAATCCCTCAAAAGTATGAGAAGTATCAAAATTTCCCTCTGATTTTGTACTTCCGAGTGATTCACCTTATAAAAAAATTGCCGAAATTTTCATTTCTTTGAAAACTCTGTACATTGAAGGATCTTGAAAAGTCCGTCCAAACACCAAGTTGAGGATGCAAAATTTCAGAAAATGCAATGATAGGAGTCCTTGACTCCTCAATTGCTTTGAGAAGAGACCTATTATTCTCCTACGCTCACAAACTTAGTGTGGCTTCCTCTTCGAAAGATCCTAACTTATTTCGACAAGTCTCTCTTTGTGTTGGTCATGGCTTGATCGGATAGGAGAGCTTCTCTCTACATGTTTACACTCTTTGGTGCTATGTTGGTAGGCATAAGCTCTTGGCTTTGCACCCGCACACTCATCTTTCTGCAATGCACGCTATATACATTGGTGGAAGCTTGTATTCTCACAAGGAAAACAAATGAAGCTCCCAAACCAGGAGGTAGTAAACCTAACTTTTGCAGGGCAAGGATCATCAGACAGTCCTACCTACTAGCTTTAGCCAAAGTAGTTGTAAAATCTACGCCTACTTTACCATTTCTTTTTTTTTTTTTTTTTTTTGACCTTTTTCTTTTTTAACTTAAAAAAAGTAAAAAAAAAAAAAAAAAAGACCGGTTGGTGGCTTCTCCACGGCAGTTCACCCTTCCAGGGCCCAGGAAGACTCACAGAAGCATTTTATCCTCCCCTTGGCCACTATCGTGTGATTCACTAATGCTAGGAATCGAACTCATGACATGTCATGCAAAATACGGGCTTGGAATCCGCACACTCATCCAACTGCACACTATATACATTGGTGGAAGCTTGTATTCTCACAAGGAAAACAAATGAAGCTCCCAAACCAGGAGGTAGTAAACATAACTTTTGCAGGGCAAGGATCATCAGACAGTCCTACCTACTAGCTTTAGCCAAAGTAGTTGTAAAATCTACGCCTACTTTACCATTTCTTTTTTTTTTTTTAACCTTTTTCTTTTTTAACTTAAAAAAAAAAAAAAAAAAAAAAAAAAAAAAAAAAAGGACCGGCTGGTGGCTTCTCCACGGCAGTCCACCTTTCCAGGGGCCGAGAAGACTCACAGAAGCATTTTATCCTCCCCTTGGCCGCTATCGTATGATTCACTAATGCTGGGAATCGAACCCATGACGTGTCATGCAAAATACGGGCTTGGAATCCACCCCAATGACTAGACCACCCCGTGGTGGTTCTTTACTTTTTCTTTTTGGTTTTTGGTTTTGGTTTTAATTTTGGCTTGGATTTATTGATGAAAAGCTATGGCTCGTCGACCAACAGAAAACGCAGCTATTGCTATAACAAAAACAAAACCGTACTTGTTGTAATTCCTACAAACGAGCCATTTCTTAATTTAGTAGTTGCAAAATAGTTATAGTTCGAATATTTGTTCTTGGGGCAATGTTATTTGTTCACATAAAACTAATACATTTGCTCGTATTCTTTAATACATGTCAGTTTTGTGTGTACAAATGATATTATCATTGTTCAGGACCGAAAAAAAGAACATTATTAGTGTTCTACTCTACTGAAATCTCTGTCTTTGTAGGGTTGGAACGAGGTTCTCTCACTACACTTAGTGTCTCAAGATGAACATGGATCTCGCCTGTTTACCGGGGTAACCACAACATATTGAAGCTCTGGCAGCTCGGTATGGACCGCCTTTCGCAACGAATTAGTTCCCGGGTCATTCTTTTTTCCGAGTCTGTTTTGGTGTGGGATACAGTACATAAGCATTAGAACCACACCTCCAATGTGAATTGAACCAAAAGAACAGAGAACTTTGGGTTGGGTTGGGAACACAAATTAATGCATAACATCTCTTACTTGTATGCTAAGCAATGTAGACGCAAGCATTTGAGGCTTCAGAAATCAGAGAGGAATTGCTTTATTCAACCTCACCTAACCACGCTGGACTTTAAGCAATCAATCAATCACTTTAACGTTTTGCTTGGTTACAAGCCTGTGCTAGTAGCCTCAGCTAAGAAGGATAATTGCTTTCTCTAAATCATGCATTCTTACTTGGAAGGAAATAAAACAAACATACACTCTGGGTAGCAGATATGTGAAATTATCGGGAATAAGAGCTTTTACATTATCTTTATTTCCACACAAACTAACTTGACGGGATCGCGCCCATCCAGTGTCTTTGTGAGTAGCAGATACCCGCTATTTTCTTACATAGTTCCTCAAATATCAGAAATAATATCTTTGGGAAATTGTGGTAAAAACGTTTGATCCGATAGCTTACAGCTTTCAACATCGCTGTCATACCCTTGCTCCTTTTCCTTCGCTGTACAGTGTATCAATACGGTCCTGCAGATGATATTCCGACAAAATATAAATTAACATTAGCTCGACAGAGAAATATCAGGGGTTGTGTTTGGAAAATTGGTTGGCCCTTAAAAAGTACTTCTAGGTGCCACCAGTCATGACTTGTTGGCCAAGGCAGTAGATAGAAAACGACACCAGGAGGCATACCTTGTAATATTTAAGCAGCTGTGGTCTCTTCAGTTTGAATGTTGGAGTAATGAGATCCCTCTCCATGTCAAAGGGCTTCGGTTCCAAGTGAACCGCTTTTAACAGCTCAAAACCTCGGAGCTGCAGGAATGTGTTCCAAGTTAGATAAGTAGACATTGACATACATGCCATGGAAATTGAAACAGGGAATTGGGTGAAATATTATCAACATACTTGCTGTTTCTGACCAGTACTATTGAGCTCATCCAAAATGTACTTGCTTGCCTTCGGGTTTTGACATAATGATTTGAAATCATCGGTCAAGTGATGCTCTGCTGCCCAATCCTCCAACGCCTTAGGATCAGGGACCACCACAGCAACAAGAAACGACTCAAAGCTGTTTCCATATACCCAAATCTGCAAACCAGAGGAAAATCCACAACTTTAGAAAAATCAAAAAACAAACCAGAGGGAACTTCCACAAATTACAAAGACCAACAAATAAAAACTCATATATGGAGGCAAGTAGAGGTGGGTTCTAACGTATAGGAATGATTAACTTGTGCCCGGTCTAGCAACTAGCAACATACCGATGTGATAAGAGGGCATTGCAAGTATTTGCTTTCAATGTTTTCTACCGCAACATATTCACCTTGCGATAGTTTAAATATATTCTTTTTCCTATCTATGATTTTCATTGCTCCATCTGCCTGCCATTCTCCAATGTCACCTGCAATAAAATCAAAGTCACCATCACATTTCAATGCAACAATTAAGCATCAACAAAATTTTCTAAGATGTCCAGTGGTGACATCTTCACAAGAAGACAAAACATTGGGCATCAAATGACAACTTTATGGCTGACTCTTTAAAGTTTACCTGTATGAAACCACCCATCAACAAGGACTTCCTCTGTTAGATCTTCTCGCTTATGGTAACCAGAAAACAAGGTTGTTCCTCTCAGGCAAATCTCTCCACGGGGCACACTGGAAAGTGCATCGTATCCCATTTCCGGCACTGACTCAAGCCTTGCTTCAATAGTTGTGATAGGGACACCGACAGTTCCAATCATAGGAAAAACATTGCCAATGGACGTGAAGCTACCACCACAGCTTTCAGTAAGGCCTACATGTAAAAGAGTTTAGCAAGTTGATGGAAGGTTCTTTTTCATTATGAAGGGAACTTTTATAAAACTACTGCAGATGAGTAGAAGCTCGCGTCACTGAACTTTCAAAACACACTTAATATTTCAACCAATAAATAATTTATACCAGCTTCTTCAAAAAAGACATTGAATTCATTTTAGGTCAATGTTTTGTTCTTTCCATTGCACTAAAAAATAAGGTCACTGCAAAACCTACGTCGATTAGTCAATTAGGTAAATTCTAGCAGCACCATTCCTACAATCTCTATATCATTCCTAGATGACATAAAGCAGAGATGCTTCAACCATACCATATCCTTGTGATAAAGTGCTGCAGCTGGTGACCCTCAAAAATTCCTCCACATGCCTAGGCAAAGGGGCAGCACCAGACAACAATATACGAACTCGTCCCCCCAATGCTTGTTTTATCTAGCACAAGTAACATTTTGTTAGAATGTAAAACAGCTATTCAAGAATTGAATGGCGAAGGATGCAACAACAAACCTTATCAAAGACAAGTTTGTCCAAGAGAGGTGCTGCTTTTTCTTGTGGGAGACCCTTTTCCAGATTCGCCAACTTGCTGTCAATTAAATCTTTCATTAGTTTTATTGCAGGAGCAAATGCAAACAAAAAGGGGAGCTTTTCGGGATTCATACTAGTTATAAGCATATTGGAATAATGTCTTCTTCAATACACCCCCGGATGAAACTTTGTTGACAATACCTGCGAGCACAAAGTTTAAGCCAGATATTTAGAATTAAAAAAATTCAAAGACAGTAATTTATCAGGATCGGTATGATGTATATTTTACCAGAGTATATGCGATCATACACTCTAGGTACCCCACAAAACATAGTAGGCCTTAGTTCCTGAAGGTCCTCGAGTAGAAATCTGACATCCTGCCCAAGTTCAAGAAAGAAATCACATCAGAAACAAGTTACAGAAATTTAAGAAAACAGATAACTTTGAAAGATATACGAGTCTTATATACTTACTCCTCGCCAGAAGCCTACAGAGGATCCTTTGTAGATGCAATAGCTCTCCATTATTTGATCATATATATGGGCCAATGGAAGAAAGGAAAAATATGAATCTTCTTCCGTACACTGTAATAGAATTGATTTCATGAGATCAGTATTGTAGTTTTAATGCACTATGATTAGCAAAAGGAAATAATTTCTCATATTGCAGTAACAGAACTTCGGAAAGAAAAATTTCTGCAAATGAGCACCCTTGAATGAGCAGATGAGTTTTTTATGAGCTCTAGCTCAAGTAGCATTGGGATGGGCGGGGAAGCGGTCTAGGCTCAAATAAGATATGACTTACTTAGCAAGGTATTACTACTTATAGTTTAAATAGTTGTTTGGAAAGACCAACCACAACAACATCGACTTTTCAGTAGAGTCTTGTTCTGATGTCCATTTAAAGTACATGAAGGTACTAATTTATCTTAATTAAGGACTACAATATAACTACTCAAAATGCCCGTCACCAAATCACACCCAAACTAAGCATGCCAAGTGCCGGGAGCTATCCTCCCTTTTTACTAATTTAACTTTGAGAGGCAATATATATCGTAAAAAGGCTAGGAAATAGCGTGTTCAGTTGTTTACCACTCTATCTGTTAGAAAAAGTAGTTGCTCCACAGACAATACTTCTGCCATAATTGCTCCATTACTAATACGTACACCTTTTGGTTCTCCAGTTGTTCCACTTGTATACATTATTGTGCAAATGTCAGTCCTCCGTTTCGGAGGTAGTTCACAAGCTGCATTTCCCTGAGAAAAGGTGTGGAGAGGTCATTTTACATTATTGAAAAATAAGTTGGCGAATCCTTTACCAACGAAGGGAATTTATATGAGAGAGAAGTATAAACAACTTACCAACTGAGAGAATTCCTCCCAAGAAAAACAAGATACCCCCAGTCCTTCAGCTTCCTCCTTTTGAGCGCTAGAAACACTTGCAAAGCTGACAATTGCTGTAAAAAGAAAATGCATAACTGAGTTACAATCTGCAGCAATTGCACCCCAAATTCCAAATCTTCAGGGAATTGAAGATGACCGACTTTTTAAATTGGTAGAACAATTTGGAAGGCATGACAGAACCTGCGCAAAGAATTACCATATGAGCAGGACATCAGAACATATAAGAAAAAAACTGAAATTCAAAACTAAAATACCACATATGTATTGGGAAATTAAGTAAGACGGTCGTCAAACTATTTAGGGTAGAAATATCCAAAGGTAAGATGGTCTTTGTATTTATCTGAGGTTTTGGAACCAAGGAGTTGGATAGGATGCTTTTAGTACCAAACTATATGACATCAATAGTCTTGTGCATTTGTACTTAAGGAAATGGATAGAAAGCACACTTACAGCAGGGAGTTTGTTTTCTTGAACAAAAGCTATTGAAACTTCAGCATGATTGATGATGAACTCAACTGCATTAGCACCTGTAACACGAACAACCGTGACAAGTTAATCAGCTATATTTAATCAAACTCAACCACCATCATCAAAAGTCGAATTGCCCGTGGAAATGATCTTAACGAAGAAAATATAAAGGTATTCTGAAAGTCATGGTGGTATACACACCAAGTTCTATTGACAAAAGAGAAGGAAAAACATACCGAGGGTGTCATAGAGTGGAACGTATGTTATGGCTTGGCTATTACAGGCCTGTAAAACATCAACAAAACATACAAGCATTACGCCAGAAAGTCGCCTTCAGTCCCCAACATCACAGTCATTCAACCGTAGTCACAGAATTTAATGTCGATATTAGCATGCATTTCGCGGAATGGAATGCATAAACACGGACATCCAATCATGAAAACGCGAAATAAAGCATTACCTCCATTGCAGTAAGCCACTGGGGGCAGTTTGATCCGTATATACCGCAACGATCTCCCTGTAAACGTGTAAAAGATACAAAAACATCATGAGACTAATCTCAGTTTGCTTTCTTTTTTTTAGAACTATTTTCAGTACCATTATTACATCAACTCTCAACTACAATAGTACTAGTTCGACATAGCAAACTATAGATCACATCAAAACTATGGATAACTTATCAAAACCATGAGACAGGAGCACATTAATGTATTCAGGGTCAACTTAGCGCCGTATTAACTTACTAACTAGTTAGTGTTTGAGCGCTACCGCATGCATACTTAATTGGCATGTGACTTACAGGATTGACACCGCGGCTTCTGATGGCTGAACCCATTCGAATCGCAGCATCATAAACCTCTTGATACGTAAGCCACACATACGGACCCACCTATCATTTCCAATAAACAAATTTATTAAAAATTGGGTTTTGATAATCTTAATTGGGAAAAACAAATAAAATAAATAAATAAATTAGCTCATGGGTTTCAATGGGTTGGTGCTATTTTTGCTCAAATGGAAGCTTTACCTTTGTGTCAGTGACCTGCCGCCGCCCAAGCATTGGGTTGCTCGGATATTTCTTAGCAGAGTCACTGCAAGTAACACCAGAGTTTCAGCCATGAATTCACGCAGAAATTCGAATCAGATTTTATATGGTGATTAAAACATAGAATTATTAATAATTATACTAGCGTAATCATCAACTGGCCTATTAGCTCAGCTGGTTAGAGCGTCGTGCTAATAACGCGAAGGTCGCAGGTTCGAGACCTGCATGGGCCATTTTTTTGTTTTCTCCTTTCTGCTATTAATTTGATTTCGATCGGATGAGTGAGTGCTACGAGGAATAAATATAGTTACATTTTCCTGAGAAATTTGTCTGTCCATTTTCTGAGGATCCAAACAAACAACAAGCTCAATTCAACTGCCCTCAACAGAAAAATGTGACACTCAATTTAAAGTACATTATTCTGATCCATAACGCACATCAAATTTTAACAAGATACGAAAAAAAAAAGCGAGTACCAAAATGGGATGATAATGTACCTCAAAAACTGCCAAGGAGACTCCAACCCCTCCGGCAGCTCCATGAGACCATCCTTAGCGTAAATGCTCCGATACGCCGGCCCCGCCGCCGGCCTCCCGTTGGCGGCCGGCCTCGATTCCTCAACCTTCACTATGAAATCCATGGACCCTTTCACCCAACTGAGATTTCAAGCTGGTTACAAGTAAAGAACTGAGATTCTGAAACAAATATAATGGAAGGTGGAAGGGCTAGCTTCTGGTGAATGTGACCGGTAATTAATAACCAGAAGTAGAAATGGAGGTGGAGAGGTGGCGGTGGGGGATGTTAAGTCAGCTGAATGCAATAAATTTTAACCAATTTATAGCGGTGTTTATGAGAGGGGGTCTTCAAGGTAGCTGTATGGATGCATGTCTTGTAGATTGGTGAGGAATAACTGGCATTGCATTTATAATGGTAGACGGAGTTTGGTGAAGTACTTGCTCTGTGGAGTGTTTCGTAACTTTTAATATCAACGAGGCATGGTGTGATAAAATCCCCACCTAGTAATAAGTGGTTAAGTTGAGGGCAATAATGGTATTCTTGGTGGTTGATCATGTTCGACCTAAAATGTTTATAAGGGTATTTGAGAAGCTTAAAGGGGTGTGTCTTTATCATTTCTCATGTTTTAGGAGTCATTTCTTTGCCAATTAGTCTTATGGTGTAATAATAATTTTCTTTACTTGTAAGTGAAAATTTTCAACTTTAAATTTTGTAATGACGTGTTTCATCCAATTATTCATCTGCTCTTTAGTGTAAATATATTGTTATATCAAAAATGTTGTCAAGTACATTGGAAAGGGATATCTCCGGATCCCTTCCACCTAATCATCATCATCAAACAATCCGAATCCTTGAAATTTGATCAAACGGCTAAAGTTATTATAACTTTTAAAATTGGTCCGTATTTTTAGCCGTTGAATTAAAATTTAAAAATCCAGATTGTTTAATGAGAAGAATCAAGTGAAACGGATCCGGAGAGGATCCCTTTCCAAGTACATTTTGATGAGATTGGTATCTTTTGTTGGTTGCCAAAACATTCACTGATGACGTCCTTCGATTAAGTAGAGAACAAGTTTGTTGACCATATGGATTTCTTTCCACATGGACAAAATAGGATTCTCCAATTTTTTGAAACAATTAATTAAACAATCTCACATAAGTCAAATCTCAATATAAAGGAGTAGGATTCTTTCCTTTCTTTTTTTTTCCTCTCCTTCCCTACCTTCTTATTTGAATTGTTACAGTTAAGTCATGTCAATATCTTATATTAATTTTTTATAATAAGAGAAAAACAAAATAAGAAAATGTGAGAGGAGGGGATGAAGGGGATGTAAAGAGAAGGGGAGAGAATCCTAATCCCTATATAAAAAGTCAATACTGTTTTGAACAGTGTTTTTTAGAGTCACAGCCTTCACTAAAATAAGTGAACAGAAGTGTCTCCCAAACAAAAAAGTTCAAAAGTAATTCAAAATAATGCATGTGTATTTTTATCATATAAACAACGTTTTTTAATAATTAATTCTTTTTGTACATTTTTTATACAGTTTTTTAAATTAGTATCTCACAATAAATTAGTAATAATGTGATTCGATCAGTTATTTATTAAATATTATTTTCTCTATTTTTAAACACGTTCAAAACATCTTAAGAGGCGCGTAATGCCAATTATAAAAAAAGTTTTTCGCGTGCGCATAATAATGTGATTCAATTAGTTGTCAAATGATTTTTTTTTTCTTTCGAACAAACGATATTATCTACACTAAGGGATGAGGTGTTGGCTTAGCCTCATAATGGGCTAGTAATATTGTGATTCAATCAGTTGTTTATTAAATATCATTTTTTTTATTTTTAAACACGTTCAAAACATTTTAAAGATTCGTAGTGCCGGTTATAAAAATTGTTTTTCACACGCGCAAAATAATGTGATTCAATTAGTTGTCAAATGATTTTTTTTTTCGAACAAATGATATTATCTACTCTAAGAAAGAGGAGGTGGGCTTAGCCTCACATTGGGTTAGCAATAATGTGATTCAATCAGTTGTTTATTAAATATTATTTTCTCTATTTTTAAATACATTCAAAACATCTAAAGAGGCTCGTAGTGCAAGTTATAAAAAAAAGTCTTTCGCACACGCATAATAATGTAATTTGATTAGTTGTCAAATGATTCTTTTTTTTTTTAACAAACGATATTATCTACACTAAAGAGGAGGGGGTAGGCTTAACCTCACATTGGGTTAACAATAATGTGATTCAATCAATTGTTTATTAAATATTATTTTCTCTATTTTTAAACACATTCAAAACATCTATAGAGCCGCATACCGTCAGTGATAAAAAAGGTCTTTCACACATGCACAATAATGTGATTCAATAAGTTGTATTGTTTTCTCTATTTTTAAACACTTAAGAGGCACGTAGTGCCAATTATAAAAAAAAGTCATTCGCACGCGCATATTAATATGATTCAATTAGTTGTCAAATGAAAGTTTTTTTTTTTTTTTAACAAACGATGTTTTCTACACTAAAGGAGAAGAGGTGGGCTTAGCCTCACACATTGGGTTAACAATAATGTAATTCAATAAGTTGTTTATTAAATATTATTTTCTCTATTCGTAATGTAAATTCAATAGAATGTAAATGGAAATTGAAAGACCGATTTTATTATATGAATTCGGCTGCTTTGATTGGTTTATAAAGGATTTCTTCTATCATGTTCGAATATTATTTATTTACTTCAAATATTTGATTTTTTTTTTTTGTCATAAAAAAATTATTGAAGTAATTAACGCATTCACACTGAAGGCTATTATAATCTAAACAGAATTGTTTATGGTTCAGTCACATAAGTGAAAAATAAGTTAGGACACCCTAAAGAATTTTAATCTAATCAACCTTGCCGAAGTAAATTACTTTTCACTTAAAGAATAAATTTTTTTCCTAGTGTTTTAGAGTTTTTTTAAGATTAAATCAGCTAGTTAGTAATGTGTTCACCCTCTTACACTTCAGATGGGATAGATCCTCCATTTATTGTAAGAGACTCTCTTAAGGCTATGTTAGGAATTTTCAAGTCTTAGAGTTAAGCGGTGACAAAATATTAGATAAAAGATATTATAAATAAATCACATGAGTATTAGAAAGGTATGTGAGACCGATTAACTTATATAGCTACTTAGTTAATGTTGAATTATCAAAAAGACGGGTCAAAGGTCCACTTCTCACAACACTGATATTATCACCAACTTAGTGATATTATCCCTAACTTTGTAATTATCACGTGCACAATCCATTAGGTGTCAGGTGTGGGGTTTTATCACATCAGGTGTTAGGTGTGAAGTTTTATCACAAAAAGCCTTGAAACTAGTTGGAGTGGGGTTAAGATATTTAAAATCTTATTTCCCAGAGATACGATTAATGTGTGATATTTCAACATGCCCCTCACATGGGACCCAATTACTGGGTCACACATGGGAGATCTACATATCGACAACCACGTGGAGCCAAGGGGACTCATCTTACACGCGGGGCCAAGAGGACACACCCATCACATGGCAGTACAATACAGACCCGCTCTCTGGCTCTAATACCATGTTGAATTATCAGATAGACGAACCAAAGGCCCACTTCCAACAACATCGATATTATCCCTAGCTTTATAATTACCACATGCTCAATCCATTAGGTATAAAGTTTTATCACAAAAAAATTCGGTATTAGTTGAAGCGAGGTTAAGATATTTAAACATTTCTTTTTTCAAAAATACGTTGGATGTGAGATATTTCAATAATTAAAAGATGTGCATATAGTACATTTCTAATTCCTCCTATTAAACATTTGTAATCCATCCCTTGCTAGTTTTACACGATCAATTGGGACTCAGCAATCCCTCTCTCAATCGAAGTTTTAATGAAATTTAATTAGACAAAATAATTTTTAATTAGAGAACATGCCAGTCATCAGATCTTATTAGCATTCCTTTCTGTTATTATTACTAATCTAACTAGAAGTCTAGGTTTGCCTCTTTACCTTATCTTATCCTTATCTCATTCGTGGTGACTCATGAGAGAGGAACTCTTGCAGATTTTATTTCTTGGAAGTCAATAGTTTCATGACTGCATTTTCTTGCTCGAAAAGAAAGACAGAAGAAAAATGCAGCTTAATGAATATTAAATTAGTTGATTAGAATAATGTGTTCATTTCTTTAAACTTGTTAGAAATAATTCCCAAAATGAAAAGGGGAAAGGAATTCTCATTATGTTGAGAATGAATACCGATGGGAGGAGAAACCTTGCATGAGCTTATAAGAAGTTGAGCTACTTTTCATATTGTCAATTAGTTTTATGATGAAATCTCAACTTTCTTCAAATTACAGGTGACGCAGTCATAGTACGAATCACTAGTGATTTAGAAAATTCATGTTAAACCTGATATATAAGGATATAATGGATCTTTACAACGTTTAAATCTTACATACTATTGTAGCCAGACCTATTACTTAATTCGACCTTACTATGTCTTATCCTTTTCTCCATTTATCACGCGAGACAAACTCTTCCCTGCAGATTTTCTCTCTTGTTTCTTTGAAAAATGAATAATTTGGTGACTGCATTTTCTAACAACCCAGACATGCAGATGCAGTGCAGGTGAGGTTGGGTATGACCTCAAAAAGTCAAGGTGGATTTTTGGTAGCATAAGCCTAAACAGTGGTTGGAACAAGCTATCTACTTGTATTGGATGCTGAAATCCCAACAATATTTGTGACCTCGTCGGACGTTTGTTTGTTGATCAACTTCTCATATCCAACGTGTTGACAAATTGAAAGCATCCATTTCCCTTTGTTTTTTAATTAAACAAGGAGAGGTACAACCTGAATTTGCCTGTAATTGCAACAAAAGTTCAGCTTAAGAGTTTGGAAAAAAGAGTTTAAAAAAGTCAAGGATATTAGAAGAAAAAATGGTTTAAAATGTTTCCTCATCTTAAGGAAGGTCCTTTTATAAAGTTCGTATACGGTCTCCAAAATGTCTAAGACAACCAGTACACAATATCCCATTGAAATAAAAAACTTTAACAAAAAGCTTCCGGTACTATTTACTTTAACAAAAAAATCACATTTCTACACTAAAAAGTCAATCTTGATACTATTCACTTTACCCTTTATTTTATCATTTTTGTTAAAACTCAAAATTTTCAAGGCATTTTCATTAGTTTTCCTTTTAAATAATCTTGACTTAAGTCATAGTAGATTAAGCTTAAATTACAGAGTTATGCATTCTTTCTCAATATGTTTATGAACAAACGATATTATTTACACTAAACAGAGAAGGTAGGTCCAGCCTCACAATAAGCTAACAATAATGTGGTTCAAATTCGCCTTTGGTGAGAATCGAACCTAAGACCTCTCACTTAAAAATAAAGAGAAATATCATTAAACTGTAGTACTAAATAACTAAATAACTTTTTTCTCTATACTTTATTTTGAATCTTCATCACTGAATTATATTAAGCCCAAAAAAAACCCCACACCAATGAGTTTTTAACTTGGACTTGGCCCACCACTATAATTTCATCCAAGCCCAAAATGGCCTGGTTGGGCATTGTTTATACCCTTTGTCAGCAGCCCATTTTGGTTGCTTAAGGCCATCTCCAACCGAGAGCTAGTTAGAAGGCTCGTTTTAGCCTTCTGACCCTCCAAGATATTAATATTTTAATGAACAGTACAGGGTCATATTTGCCTCCGTCTCCAACCGAGGGCCAAAGGGCAGAGGGCTCGTTTTAACCCTGTCACAAAAAACGGTCTCCAACCGAGGGTTATAGGGCCAAATATAATTTATTATTTAAATTTAAAAACTACAACAAAATTTTAAAAACGACAAATTAAATTTTAAAACTACAAATTAAATTCGAAAACAACATTAACTTAAATTTTAAAACTACAATTTAAATTTAATATCCATAATCAACATCATCTTCATCATCCGCCATTGTACGAGTATAGTCAGAGGTAAACAATCGGCTCATAATTTCTTTTTTTTTTCCTATCAAAATAGGCCTTACTCATTGGAGTGTAATTCGAAGTGTTCCTTTCCATATTCTTATCATCCATTTTTTCTTGTATTTGTTTGGCCCGTTCTTCATGCCTACACTTCCTTTCTTCCGCCTCAAGGGCATTTTGCTCCGCCAATAATCGCAATGAGGCAGCCACTTCATGTTTAGTGGCGTAATCATCATTTACCTTGCCCTTTTCCTTCAACCTTTGCGCCTTGTTTCGTCCCATAGCCCTAGGTATGGAACCTTCACCCAAAGACGGATTTTCTACCCTTGTTTGTTGAATGGTTGGAGATCCATCTTCATCCATATATGCAGTTGAGGATGCAATTCCGAACACCGACGTGGGAGCTCTCTGTGGTGGATCTTCAAATAACACCCACCCTTTACAAATTTCCCAACAACTGTGAAACTAAAAGGGTTTCGAGGTGCTATCCATATACAATTCCTCCGCTTGGCGTACCTAGAAAAAAATTAAAGGAAATTAATTTATGAAATTAAATGTAATATAATTAAATATTTAAAATAAATTGTGAAAACACTTACTTCGTCGTAGTAATTAGCACTACTGTCATGTCTACTTGCGGCTGCTAACAATGCTTGATGCCATTTGTTCAAACTTGGCTAAAAATGTTTCTTCCATCTTGAAGAACAACTCTCGTGGCTTCAAATATTCACTTGAGTGGTGCCTTCATAGAACTCTAAGTATTTTTTGGACACACGAGTCCAAACACTGTCATTTGTTTGACAATTCCCCCTCACACTATCTTCCGACACCCATCTATAAGCCTTGCAAAGAGCTTCATCTTCTTTTCGGATCCAAGCCCTACCTTTCATTGCAGACGAGGCCATTTCAAAATTATTAAAAAAATTGAAGGATAGATTTTTGAAAGAGGAAGGAAAATATGAGAATTGAAATGGTGTAGGAATGGTGAAAATTTTGTGAGGAATGGTTTAGGTATTTATAGGAAAAAAAATAGAATTAAAAAAAAAAAAAGGCTCAAAAAACCCAAAAACATAAAAAAAAAAAAAAAAAAAAAAATGAATCCAACAGTAACTAGCGCCAGCTAGCCGCTGGATTCAAAATTCTTTTTAAGAATTCTTGTCGGTTATAACCTACATGATTAATCAGTTTTCAAGTCAGCCCCTGCCTAGCAGCCAACCCTTCAGCCCTTTCAAATTCCGTGGGACCCTCTTAGATTCCACGAGCTCTCTGGCCTAATCCTCGGTTGGAGATGGCCTAAGTTAAATCGGGCTTTCCGCATTTATTCCCTTAGTCTGTATTATGCATTTTGTTAATCATGCAAAGTTGAAGAAATCCGAGAGTCACTTGTATGACATGAGTACATCATTAATTAGTATCCCATGTCAATAATGCAAAAACAAACACATTTACTTATATTATTGACACATAAAATTATTGTAATAGTGTACTTGTGTAGTCGTGTCATACAAATCAATTTCAAAGAATTCCTTTTATACAATTCCACACAGAAAATTGATCTTGTTACTTGCATAAGGGTTCTTTTTTGGCTCTTCCAAATATCCCATGTATCACAGCAAATAAATGTTAACTGATTAAAAAAAGATACTTGTAGTTGTAAGCAAAAAGTAGGCCAATTTAGGACAAGGCTGCAAGGGCAACTAGAGAACTAGTTAACCAACAAAACTACCAAACACCAAAAGGCAGCCAGGTTACACAAAAGGAAATGAAAAATAAGACAAATATGGAAATGTTATAAATAGGCAAAAGTTAGAGATATAATCTTTGCTAAAGACATGAGCGAAGCAGATGCAAAATAACATACTGTTTTATTTCGTAATTATAACATAAAAGGATTGAAGATAAAAATAGAAAGGAAGGGATACTGATATTATTGCTTTCAGTTCTTTTCTTTCTTTTAGTTGTTGTGCCTTGATCACTCGCGGAGTGCTCTATTTATAAAGCCACATTCGTATGTTTACAGAGAATGAAAATCACCCGCGACAAATCAAGCAATCATCCGTGATAAACCACTTTTGAAAAAGCATAACACAACAAACTATTCCCTGCTATTCACTGCTATTCCCATGTGGGCATTCAATCATTCTCATAATCTTTACAACAGGAAACTGATATTCAGCAGAAATCATAAGGAAGCAGGCACAACCAAACAATAATTCAACCTTAAGAACTAGTAATGGAGCCCTAATATTCGGAAATTATTCTGATTCATAACTTCTCGTGCACCTATTAACATATGAGAGTATGATATACATACTAAAACGAAAAACATACGAGATCCACATTATAATCCATAATCCTATAATACTTAAAGCTCAGAATTGGACTGATTTAGTTGATTTCTCCGATTAAGAACTTATGTCATTCCAAGTAAATATGTTACAATACGCAATATAATTGAATCCACGCATCAAAATGGAATTACTTGTGTTTCAAGAAGAGAAAAACAAAGGTAACATAAATTCATCTGACAAATGCTACAATAATATTACATAAGACATGTAAGTGAAACACCAAAAATGACATGTAACATTCTTTTCCCTTCTCAAACCCCTAAGCATGCCTCCCAAGTAATTGGAAACCACCCAAATTCCAATTTGACCCACTTAGCTTTGACTTTGCCCGATGTGCAATACTGCAATGCAACACCGACCGCACATCCATGTCTTCCAAAGTCAAGGAAGATAAAAAGAATGACAAGGACAAGCACTCAAAGCCTCAACTCCACCCGCATTGCACTTCACATCCTCCCCCTATCCGCACTTTTCATCTCTTCAAAATTTTGTGATGGTAAAACCAAGATAGACAATTTTCTCCCTAACCATCGTATCCCTAAACCTTAAACTCCTTAAACTCTAGACCCTAAGCCGTAACTGGATAACCCTAGCTCCGCCTACCCCTGTTGTATGGTTCACATGCACAAATGACTTGTCAACTCCTTCCCACATGGTCTAAATTGTATGGTTGTCGGTCGGTTTGCTCCAAATAAGCAGCCCTATATTTAAAAGCTAACCCAATCTTTCCCTCTAAATAAATAAATGGCGCCAAAACCCATTAAATTTTTCCACATTTATGATCCTCTCTCTCCTCTCTCCCCCATAAAACCCCAGTTTTGATTTGTGTGTTTTTTCTTTCTCTTCCTCTCTCTCGTCAATTCTGGGCATTAAATGCCGTCTCGGCAGCCCCCCCCACAGTTAATGACCGCACCGGCCCTCATTAACTGTCCTCCCCACTTTTCCCTCCACCCATCTCCCACCGTCCGATCCACCCCACCCTCGCTCCATCACCACCCTCCACGTGTCGATCCGGAATTTAACCTCACTTCCTTCGTTCCTATCTCCTGTTAAACCTCTCCGGCGACAACAGCGCTTCCGGATCTCCGCACCTTAGCCGGCTCGATGAGAAAGCCGATAACCCCGAAGATCTTCCGAACATCGGACTTGTCATCGACTTGCTACGCCGCGAATATCCGCCGGTTCCGGCGCCGGAGAATCTCGCGCTCGACTCTGACAGCGGGAAGAAGCCTTTTCGGCGGAAGAAAGGAGACTTCATGCTGACGCCGCCTCTGTAGGATGATCTGAAGGAGAAGACTCGAGGCTTCGTCAACGACCCGAACGGCGACGGCCGCTTGCTCCAGAAGCTTCCTCTCCGGTACCGCCACGGTGACACCGTCGCAGGCTCTGTCACCATCATCCTCTCCGCCGACGCCGAGCTTCGCTCGAACCCGAACGAGTGCGACCTCTTTAAAACAAAATCTCCGCCGTTGATCCGGTAATCCTCCCAGTAGTTGGAGCTCCTCCTCGGCGATCGCTCCTCCGCGCACCGCTCGATCTCGGTGACTAACGAATCGGAATCACACGGCGCCGTAGCTTCGGCAAGAGGCTCGAGCGCGATGCTCCGGAAAACAGCGTCGTCGAGGCTGGGCCTGATCCTTGCGGCCATCAACGGAACGAACGGAGATTCCGGACGGAATATTCCGGCCCGGCAGAGAGGACAGTTGGCGTGAGATCGCAGCCACATGTCGATGCAGTCAACGTGAAACACGTGCGAGCAGACCGGCAGCGTTCGAACGTAGTCGTCGTTTTGGAAGTCGATCAGGCAAACGGCGCAGTCACGGCTGAGGAGGGATTGTTTTGATGTGTATAGAGAGAGGGGGATTGTTTTGATCACCGACTCGTCGAGGCCGTAGGGGGAGAACACGTGGAAGCCGATGTCGGCGGGGTCGAGCGACAAGTCGTAAGGCGGGGAGTCGATGTCACCGATGGATGATGGGAGGTAGGAGCGGCGACGGCGGTGGTGCCAGCGTCGTTGGAGGCGGAGGATTGGCGGGATGACGTGGCGGGAGATGAGGCGGGAGTAAGTGACAATAAGGAAGGCGGTGGCGACGACCACGACCATGGCGATTAAGGGCGGGGAGAAGTCGATGGGGTACTTGGACGGCGGGGATGATGCATGGAGCGAGGTGGTGATGAAGAGGGTGGAGAGAGTGGGGGCGGGTGCAGGAGATGGGGATGCAACGACCATTTTTATGAGTATTAGTACAGTGGCGGAGGAGGAATCATTGGCGGCGGAGGCGGTGGTGGGTGTTTTGAAGAGTGGAAAGAGAGAGAGAGAGAGAGAGTGGGGGAAAGTGGAGGGAAGGGGGGTTAATGCTTTTGGTTGACTGGTGTAGTCGGTTTGGTCTTACGCGATTCGTTTCGGGGTGGTCGCTGCCTACGACACATCAGCGTCGCTGAATTTAAGACCGCGTCCAGCTGTTGTTTTCGTCTGCGGGAATGCACCACTTTATTTTCCATGTGGACTATGTTTGTTTCATAGTTTATAATCCTCCTCATTTTAATTTCTGAACAAGACCAAGTAAACGGGATATTTTGCTGGTAACACTGATTTTAATCGTGTTGTACACCCATATTGTAATATGGAAAATAAGATATTACGTGACAAATATTTTAGGTACGCAAAAATATCTCTAAATAAAACTCAATTCGATTGAAAAATCTTAACTTGTTACTCGCATATACTCATAAATATCCTAACCAATTTAACAATTCGCAAAAATTTCTTCAAATAAAACCCACTCTGTTGAAAAATCTTAACTCGTTGATTGCATACTCACAAATATCCTAACCAATTCAGCAATTTAATTGTTTGACAGTTAATGTTTCCATGTTGTTCCGCATTAAAACTATAGTTTCAAATCTGATTTTTATTTTTTGAAAGAATTCACATTAAAACTAGTAAGATATAGTGCAATTGAATTGGAATTTTCGATTTGGCTGAGTTTATTAGCACTCTAATATTTATTCTTTTGAATTTTTTTTTAAATGTAGTGTTGCGGCCCTAATTTCACTAAAATTGTGATTGTGTCAATCCTAGTAAATTTTTATAGAATTCTATAGTCTCTTTTAGATAGTTTTCCTAGTTGTAATGTATTACTTGAAAGGCAATGATTCTTCCTTCCTTACCACTAAAAATAAGGCACAATGGGGTGAGAAATCACAACACAAAATTCACCCAATTCTCTCTTTCATCTTTGCTTGCTGCCTCTCTCCCTCTCTGTATTTCATCGGTAAAATAGGCCTCCAATACGTTATGAGCATGCTCTTAACGCTGCACTAAAGAGAATTTGTCCATCTTCAATCAGGGGAGGATTACGTTTCATTTATTCTTTTACGACTAACATTTTATTTCTTGAATTAATATTCTTTATACAGATTCTATTTCTTCTTTCTATATTGAACGTGATAGAACGCATTTTGAAGATGGATATCCGACAATAGAGAAGGATCTTCTACAACTACCATTCAAAGGCTTTCCAGCAAATCAAGTTCTTCTAAAACACATAATTGATATTTTATAAGCCCCTATTAGCATGAAAATATTCATCATGATGCATGAACCTTTATCTTACTCTTATATATATATATATTGTATATTTCACATATATATGTTGTGCACATGCAATTAATATTTCCATATTATGATTATGCAAACATGTTATATTATGCTACACTATGATAATAGAAGCAAGAACTAGGGCTTTGAAAACCCTAACCGAGAAAAAAAAAAGAAGAAAAAAGTGCAGCTGAGCCACGCCAAGCCGAGCCATTGTCCAACATTAGCAAATAATTGCGTCGTCCCTACCTTCAGGCTTGGCTGCCACAGACACCAGCCTGCCTGCCCGAGCTCCAGCATCCCCCGTCAACTCGCAATCGTCCCGTAATGGCGAAGCCATCTCGGACGACCGATTTGAGAGATTCCAGACGGTTCTTGACAGATGCGAGAACTAGGATTTTCCCCTCGTATGGAACCACCTCCTTAAAGGCAATCGAGAATGGTGGTCATGTCCTTGAGCCTTGAGCTCGGTCCTCGAGACATGACGCCACGTGCGGTGGCGAGTATCTTTGTTTCCGGCGAGAACTAGAGCTCTTTAATTCGGCTGACGACGACTGAAGTTTCCAATATGGTTCGGTGACTAACCACCAAATACAGGAGTTGGACTTGAGCCGTGAAGTCCAATCAATTTTGGGCCTTTTATTTTTCTCGGCCCAACCTAGTTTTTCTGGGCTCTTCTTGTTGTAGCTTGCAGCTACTCCATATGAGCCTTCTTTTCTCAGCCCAGGCCCCATGCACGGCTTCTTTTCCCTGCAAGCCTGCAGCCTGATGTTGCTGGGTTATAGCCTTTCTTGGCCCAAAGACAAATTTTGGCTTGTTACTTGCTTCCAGCCCGCACCCGGCCCTGATAGGGTGCCCACGGCTAAGCACAATTTTGGCTATTTCGCACTTGTGTGGCCGCAGTCATCCAAAACCAATATCACCCGAACGTCTATATTTTCTTGCTTTCACAACCGACCCTTAAATGGTTCCAGCGGATTGAATTAATTTAATGACCAGTAATTCATTAATTTAATAAAAAATAAATTTTTAATCCCGTAAAAATCCGTATACATCATTTTTAATAAGAAATTAAACGAGAAGATATTAATATTTGAACAATGATCCAAGTAGACAGCCACATAATTTATTTTATTTACAACATTGCCCTTATTTTGCAAATCATTCTAACCGAAAATATCGCGCCCGTGCAAAGTCGAAAAAGCCCTCAGCCGCACGACAGCCGCAAGGCTGATATCATCCTTTTGAAGCCGTCAAAAACCCCCAAATTACAAAATCGCAGAGCACCAACTAGGGTTTTAGGGTTTTAAGGTTTTAAGGTTTTAGGCGTCAGGCTGCGTTTGTCATATCACTTTGCGGGAAAGAGAAGTCGGATCAGATAAAGAAAAATGTTTCCCATGTTTATGCAGAAGCCAGACAAGGCTGAGGCTCTGAAGCAGCTGCGGAGCCATGTCGCCATGTTCGGGGCTTGGGTCGTCGCGATCCGAGCCGCCCCATATGTTCTTCACCTCCTCTCTGGGGAAAAAGACGAGCTCAAGCTTGAATTTTAATGGCCATCTCGTTCTATGAGGTAGTTTTCGGGATCATATCGTTCTTATTATTTTCCGATTTCTTCATTTTTTTTTTTGTTGGTGGGTTTTCGATGTATTATATTTTTAGGATATACTAGGAAGAGGGTATTTCTGTTTGTTGTTAATATTGAGAAATTTATGAACTGAATACTTGTTTGACAGATTGTATTGTTGTTGTGTTGGGATAAATTTGATAGTTGCTCATTAGGTGTTGTATGTAATAGGGTAGGAGTTGTTGCATACATTGACAATTTGATTATATTTGAAACAGAGTACGAAGAAAATCGGGAGTGATGACCGATTGCTTCTAAAATATTTTACCTGAGTTATTTTATGATAGTATATTTGTTTCTTTGAGATGATGATTGAACCTGACAAAGATGAATTTTTTCTTGTATAATCTGCTCTTTTTGGTTGTTTTAATTTTGACGCCACGGATCACTACTCTACAATGCTATAAGTAGCATGTGAATTTGTGATTATCTAGTTATACAAAACTTCTCGTCAAGTTAGTGATGATGGAGTCAACAATGTGCCTTAGGTGAAAGCAGGCCATATGAACAAGTTGAATCAATATTATTGCGGAATAGGCAATAATATTTGATGTAATGCCCCATAGGCAAATTGACACAAGAACTGTGTATGATTTATAGCATATTTGAAGTAAGAGTAATTTTTTTCCCTTTGAATGTATTCCCAATTTTATTTACAGATAGGTTGAAACAGTATGACTATTGGGAATTTTGGTCTATAAGTCATTAGCTTTTTCGTTGTTGGAAAATGATGCATGATAGCATGTCTATTATGGATTTTGAATTTGACTTATAGAAACTTTGGTGCTAGTCACATTGTGGATGGGTATTGTAGGCATCACTCTTTCACAAGATAGTACCTTTTATTATTTCTCTATCTCTCTGTTTTTTCAATTTTGTTTTCTCAGTTGAATGGTTTTCTTGTGTGTGCGAACTGTTTTGAAAACAAAGAAATCACACTCATCCTTTTTGCTGTAATAGGTTGAAGACCTTTAGGCATGTTTGATACATAGGATTGGCTTGTCTTGGACTAATTGTAGGGATTGGTTAGGATTGGCTGGATTAGTACTTAGTCTTGTCCTAAGTTTGGCGTAACTTTGGAAATAAATTTTATTCTTTTGAAGTTCAAAATACCAAACCCCTGGTAATTGTATTTTGAATAGTCTACTAGCACAGCTGAACATGGAAGCTGCCCATTTGCAAAGTCTTTGCATCAACTTGTGGCTGTGGCATAGGGCTTGTATTGGACCATGTTTCTGCAAGGGGTTAAATAAAGAAATTTAAGGTGGTTCGAGTCTGGGTTAATCCGATTTATGTATAGTCCCATGTTTATATAGCGGATAAGGGCTAAATAGGGTAACATGGAAGGCTAATCTGGTAAAACAAACGTTCTCTTATGGTTTTTGTTTGTGCATTAAATTTTTGTCCCGGTCAGAGAGAACAAGCCATTATTATTAATCAAGTCCATGCTTCAATAAGAAGAGTAGGGTAGCTTGCATTGGCACAAAAAGGATTATAGATCCCAGTGGAAAAGATTGAATTGTAACTACGCAGGAAACCGGAGGATTTTGAGATTTCGTTTTGTTGGGACAATATGTGATTATTTAGTTATTTGATTGTAATTAATTAGGCAGTGTCTCTGTCCACTCTGATTGTCTGGCTAATTTTTCTAGATGTTTGAGCATTTTATGGTGATTGTGGCTGCGTAGTATCCTAGTAACATCATCCTATATTCTTCATTACGAATCTTCAAGCGCTCAAACTAATGATGATATTCTTCATTGATTCTCATGTTTTCTTCTTTGATGGTGCAGGTCTAGCAGTCGAGGAGTTAGACGTTATATGAAGACGAGTTATTGAGTGCTACTATCGACTGTCTGAGTTTATTTTGATTCATAATGTTTATCTTGGAGTTGATCAGTATGAACCTGCAGTAGATTATGTTCCGGTAGCCTTTCATTTTTGTTAGACAATTTCTGTTTTATTGACTGCACTTTTTGCTTGGTATTTGAAGACGTCCTAAGTCGTCAATATTATTGAATCAATGTACTTGCTGGTACTTCGACGTTACAGTTGTTGATTTTGTCATCGATGAAGTGTTAAGTACCGTACCGGACTATTTTCTGTATATGAATAGTTACAAAGATGCAGCTGAAAAGGCCCAATGATTCCAACTGCAAAGCATTAAAGCTGGCAGAGGCCAAATAAGCCATCAGGACAACTGCAAAGCATAAAAGATCCACGTATGCAACTGTGATAAATTCCCGAAATTCGTCGCAAAATTAAAAGATGTCTTGAATTTTGGACGAGGCTCCTCTCTAGATCTTCTTTGTGGGGTCTGAAAGTTTAATTAATTGTGTCTGTTTTTTGTGCAGTCAGTTTTGATTAGGTATTTGTTTGTGTTTAATTTTAAATAAAAAATTCAAAATAAATTCTAGCAGCACGATGTATAATGAATGAACACGATTGGTTGATCATTCAAACATGATGTACAATCCTAATCCTTAAATTTTAGTCATCTTTCTCTATTGGTTGATATAAATTTGATAACTTCTGTGATAATTCGGCATCATGGAAACTTCTTACTCCACATGATATGTCATAATGTTTCATTTCATTTCATTTTATTTTGTAATATTTATGAGTTATTTATTTTGAACAAAATGAGTTATTTACCGGGATGACAACGGTTCGGTTTGGGGACGGAAATGCTATATCCATCTCCATAACCATGAGAATTAACCATACTCATAACCGCAAAATAACCATTGGGGATTATCCATAACCATATCCACCGGGTAACGGATTTTCAATCGGTTATCGGTTATATCCATCTTCGAAAAAAAAAAAAAATTATATTCATCCAATTGACGCACTATAAATTTTAGTAAATACTAATTCTGCCATTAAATAGCCACATCCAATTACAAAAAGCATAAAAATATATATCTGAAGTTGATCATGATAAGCCAATATGATAAATTGGTCCAATAAAAAAGAAAAAGAGGACAAAAACAAATACGAAAGGAAGACAAAATAAATTGTCTAATAATTTGAAAACTTGTGACGACAAAAGAATGAGATATTTGCACCTTGCTTCTAGTTCCACCAAGCCAGCGTCATATTTCATGGTGCTCCTCCTTCGCAACCATCAATGGAGCATGATTCCTCCATTATTAAGCAAATGACAAATAATAGCAAATGACAAATAATTAATATGAATCGTTGTACACATATAATCTACAAAGAAGATAGTTATATACATATAATATAATTGCCAATACTTACCTCATTCATATCCATATCTTAAAAAAAATTGCAGCAATCGACGTGTGCATTAGAACAAGAAGCTAGTTGTGAAACATAAAGACTTAAATTAATTCTAAAAACTGAATGCATACTGATTAATTAAGTTTGAAAAATAAGTTTGAAATTAAGATTAAAGAACATGCACAAATATAAGATGAAAATAAATTAATACTTTGGGGTACCTTGAATTTCTTTCCACAACCAATTTTGGGCGCACATTAAGGCTTCCAATGTCTTTGGATGAAGTCTACTATGGTGTGGACTTACAAATCTCCCACTAGTATTGAAAGCTAATTCGGAAGCAACTGCAGATACATGAATAGCTAATATATCCCTTGCCAAAGCACTTAAGATAGGATATTTAGTCCCAATTGATTTCCACCAACACAAAATATTAAAATCAGATGTTCTAGGCAAAACAGCCTCTTCCAAATAGTGATCCAATTCTGACTTTACATTATCAGTACTTACAGTACTAGAAACAAACAGGCAAGGTTATCCATTAAAGGATTCATCTCTTCAAAGTCAGATTGATTCAAATGAGATGAAGTGAATGATGGTTGATGACCCATGTTAGAAATATGATTAGATCCACACTCTTTTACCAAATCATAACAATATTTGCGAATCTTATCAATTTCATTCGAAGCATATTGCCCATACATAAGAGGAAAGAAATACTCAGTTAGCCTCATCTTGAATCTTGGATCCAATAAAGTAGCTACAACCATTATTCCATGAATCACACTCCAATATTTATCAAATTTCTCAATCATACTTCTTGCCATATTTTTTATTTCATCACATCTAGAGGTAAGCCATCGGGTTAGCGACAACCTGATCTCACAAATCTTTGGAAAATAAAGATTGGTTGTAGGGTACTTAGTTCCAGAAAACAACTCGGAGACATTATAAAACAACTTTAACTTCTCACAAATCTCTCTTGCCATCTCCCTATCTCTATCATCAGGCAAATACTTATATTGCGACTTTCTTTGTTTCAAACGAGGGAAAACATCCTTGTAAATCAAAGCAGATTGAATCATTAAAAAAGTGGAATTCCACCGAGTTTTACAATCAAGCACCATCTTCTTAGTGCTTGGAAGCTTCAACTGACATGCTGCTTCCTCAAAATTTTCCTCTGTTTTTGTGTTGCCATCTAATAAACAACACTATCACGAATTTTCTCAACACCACCACCATTCACTTCCAGACCATCCTTCACAATTAAGTTTAATATATGCGCACAACAACGCATGTGAAAGAACCCTCCACCCAACAAAAGTGAACTACTAGAAAGTTTTTCAAGAATAAGATCAATCATTTTATCATTTGTAGTGCAATTATCTACGGTTAAGGTAGAAAGCTTATGATCGAGGTTCCAATCTAGCAAGCACTCCATCAAAACATCTGAAAGTGTCTCGGCGATATGCGGACAAGGCACATAAATAGATCTGAAAAAAATTACTAAGAAGATGGTTACAATAAAGAATCTGAAATATAAATCTAAAGCTATACAATAATTAAATAGAAATTAAAGTATTAAAGATATCATCTTATTATTTGACTCTGCAATGTCCAAGAGTCATCAATAAAATGTGATGTTATTACCATAAATCCTCTGTTTTGAATACTTGCAGTCTACATATCAGTAGTTCTGGCAATTCTACTTTTATTTTCATCCAACAATTGCATTGTTTTCGAGCGCTCATAATCATATATTTTTAGGATATCACTCTTGATTGTGTTTCTTGAAACAACCTTAAACAACGGTTGGACAACACTCATGAAGTTTCTAAATCCAACATGCTCAACCATGGAAAGAGGGTACTCATGCAATATTATCATTTGGGTGAGAGCTCTCCTTGCACTTTCTTGATCAAATGTATACAACTCTACTTTCCCATCTCCTACTTTTTGGATTAGTGTTTGCTTTAATTTTTTTTTTCCTCCGATGTGGACATATCGTCACATGATGCCTCAAATGGCTGGTTCCATTTCTAGTGTTCCCACCAAGCTTCTTGTTACAATAATTACATATTGCTTTCATCACCCCATCAAGTACTATTCTTGTGTAATGTTGCCACACCAAACTACGAAGTCTCGAATTATTACCTTCACCATCATCACCCCCAGATTCCTCAATCTCACTAGCGACCTCATTTGGAGTTTGTATATCTTGGGGCTGAGCAATTTGATTTGGTATTCTTGTTGCACAACACTTGGATTCAATGTAGGTGCTAGATTACAATCAGTTTGGGTAGATATTGTTTCTTCTTGAGACTTAAATTTTCTTTTAGACATTTTGATTACTGCGAACACAACCAAATCCATTAATATGTAAACAAAGACATGGTATAATATTGAAACTGAATCAATTAACATGTAAACTAAATATGTAACAACAAACAAGAAGACAATTGATTTAATTTTGCATAATTCCTATGGGCTCATAACATATTTAATAAACTGAAAAACTGACACTAATTGATAATTTGCATGAATCGAATAACATGAAAAAGAATGAAATATTACCTATTGAGCTGACAACATGCACCAATTTCTTGACAGTGAAACTCTTGAAGAGAGATGAATCTGATAAACTTGGAACATTTGATAATTGATATATAAAATGATTCAATGAATTAATTTGGTTGAGTATAACAATAAGAGTATTGAATTGATGAGGTTGTTGGTATGCCCCGTGTATGATGTTTGAAGAGAGATGAATCTGATAAACTTGGAACATTTGATAATTGATATATAAAATGATTCAATGAATTAATTTGGTTGAGTATAACAATAAGAGTATTGAATTGATGAGGTTGTTGGTATGCCCCGTGTATGATGTTTGGTGCATAATAAAGATAGTATAGGGTTTGATGCATGCATAATGAATTAGTACTATAGGGATAGTAATAATTGAATACGTTGTGGGCATGATTCCAAGACTTCGAAAGGCATATTTGAATAAAATATAATAGATACCAAATATATATATATATATATGTATAAAATATTCGGATCAGATTCGGGTATGGATATAGATTGGGTACCCCTATAACCATATCCAAAACATAACCGAATAAATTTCACGGCTTTTCCCCATGTCCAAACCATACCCGAATTTTCATATCCAAATCCAATCCATTCGGGCGGTTATTCACGGTTATCGAGTTTAACGGTTAGAATTACCATCCCTAGTTATTTACTAGAGAATGTGGAAACTAACAATTTCAAAAGAAAAAAAATAGGTTGTATTTTGTGGGTCCTGCCATTAATCAAATTAAAATAATTTGGCATCAACCTTTTTTGCTATCATTTTTTACACATGGAGGAATAAGGGTCTTCTTCAAATTTTCTTTGTGAGAATCTCATGATCTTTTATCGTATTAGTTCATCGTACATCAAACGTCATAAATTATTTTAAATTTTTTTATTTATAATTGAACACAAATAGTACCTGACGAAAACTGACCACACGATATATAATAAACGAACACGATTAAATAATCTCTAGAATCCTCAAAAAGAGGATCTCGAGAGGATCCTCATTCCACATGAAGCACTTCCTTCAATCCAAGTCAGCAGTTAGCTCATCTGTTAGAGTCATTATGCTCTTAAAATTATTCGTTTTTTGTCCAACTAGCATTTTTGACATCTACTCTCGAGATGCTCTAAGACAAACAATAAGCCATGTTACTTTCCATCACTATCGATTACTCAGAAAATACTCATGTAAGAAGTTATCTCGATATTGTGT